AAAAAAAAGTCCAAGCCACACATGTATACAGTTTTTGTTGTGCCGTTGTTGGTAGCAGTTATTATTTACAAACATACGTACTTAATATCCAGACAGACCCTAGTGGTGAAAATTATTGGTCACTAAGTAAAATGTTAGTGCTTTAACTTGCCCGACTTGGTGATTTATTTCCACAAAATTATAGCTAAGAAAACCCTGCAGGGTGTATATGGGGAATCTGCTTTGTCACATGTTCGTGGTAGGGGTTTCACAGTGGAAGTCAACTCTATAGCACCTATCAAGCTGTACCTGGAAAGAGAAACTATTAAATGGATTTGTTTCAAAGGGACTGAGCTTGCATATAGATCTTTGCCCATTTTTAAATTGGATTATCTGACTTTTTATTGTTGAGTGGCAGTGTTCTTAAGTAGTCTTTTATCATACATAAGAAGCCCTGGTGGCACAGGGCCTAACTACAACTAACCGGAAAGTAAGTCGGCAGTTTGAATCTCTCAGCTGCTCCCACAAAGATTTGAGCCCTTGGAAACCTGATGGAATAGGTTGCAGTGAGTTGGAACCAGCTTAGCACCAGTGGGATTGTTTTTTGTGAGTTGTTGGGTTTTTTTAATAAAGTGCATAATTTTCCAAATTTTCTTCCATGCTGTGGGATATTTCTTCACTCTCTGTGGGCATGTGGTTGTTGTTGTTGTGTGCTATTATTTGGAAATGATCCATAGCGGACCCTCTAGTGAGTTTTCAGAGGCAGTAAATCTCACAGGAGGAGATTGCCCATCCCTCTCCCAAAGAGCACCTGGTGGATTTGAACCGCAAGATTTTTGGATTGCAGCACAGCTTCTTACCACTAGGCCGCCAGAACTCCCTTGTTTCTTTGCTTTTTTTTTTTATGAACACATCCAAAACAAGTTTATTGTTAATTTAGATACAGTAATAACTTTCCTATTCAAAAGTTGGGTGGTTTAAGTTCTGTCTTGCTCAGTGACAATTTTCGTCAACCTTCTGTACCAGTGAAATGACAGTGTTTCTTTACTTTTTGAGAGATGTCCTTTGAAGCATGAACGTTTTACATTTTGAGGACTACCTATTTGTGTGTCATTTTTTTGTTTCTTGGGGTTTTGGTGTCAGATCTAAAAAGAGGGTTAACTCAAGGTCATGAAGAATTCTTTATTTTTTTCTGTGAGTTTTAGTTCTGCTTAAGTCTGTGATACGTGTTGAGTTAATTTGTCTGTGTTGTACAAGGAAGGGCTCCAGTTGCATTCTTTAATGTGTGGATATGCAGCTGTCCCAGCACCAGTTGTTGAAAAAGTTCTTCTTTTGTTAAATTACCTTTAATACCTCTGTAAGAAATCAGTTGATCATAGATAGATGGGTTGACTTTGGGACTCAGTTGTATTCTGCCTCTGACTAGGATGGTAGAAGGAGAATTGGTGCCTTTGAGCTGTGGTACTGGAGAAGAGTATTGAATATACCATGGACTGCTAAGAAAACAAACAGGTTTGTCCTGGAGAGGGTGAAGCCGGAATGCTCCTTGGAGTCAAGGATTCTGAAGCTTCGTCTGACATACTTTGGACATGTTGCAAGAAGGGACCAGTCCTTGGAGAGGGTTGTCATGCTTGGGAAGTTGGAGGGACAGTGCAGGAGAGGAAGATCCTAAATGAGATGGATTGATTGGGGTAATGGGGGTAGGTGTGTTGGAGATGGTGATTTGCACAGGATAGGGCAGAGTGTTGCAGACCGAGGGTAAAGTATTTTTATAATTATTAATTATGAGACAAACAGCCAGGAATGAGATAGAGCAGAGAGCATAAAACAGGGGGCCAGCAGTTCTCGGCTGAACGCCCAAGCCATGCCTCTCTGTGTATTTATTGATAATCGGGGGAAGCAAATCATAAAAAGAATTCCTTGTAAATGAAGCCAAATTTTTCTCCATTGTCAACCTAATACTCTAGCTCAGAAAGTTATTTCACAGGAAGTAACACTCCCTCTGTAGGGAGGCCCTAGCTGTCTCTTGTGTGCAGGGAACGAACAGCTCATTTTCTGTGATCTGTCACAAGAGAAATCCCATCTTATATATTTGTAATTCCTTCAATTCCTGAACAAGGGTTTTCATATAATATTTGGTATGAAGTTTGGCTCCCCATAGCAGAGTTTAGGTCTATTGTACATAGGGTCGCCATGAGTCGCAGGCGACTCGATGGCACATAACAATAACATCCACCATATACTCTTTTGTTGACTATAACTTCATAGTGTTGGTGGTGTTTGGTGTCATCGAGTCACCTTTGATTCATAGCCTTAAGCACAACGTGTTGAAACCCTGTACCATCCTCACCGTCGCTGCCCTGCCTAAGCTCACTGTTGCCCTCACTGTGCCAATCCAGCCTGCCAAGGCTAACAAAGTCTTGAAAATGAAAAATACTAGCCCTTCAACTTCATCCTTTGTTTTCCCGTCCATTTGCTTATTTGAGGTTTACCATTTCATGCAGATTTCCAGTGAGCTCTTCCATTTCTGCAAAAAAGGATTGTTGGAATTTTGGAGGAATTGCATTAAATCGTGCAGGGGGGTGTTACCATATTAACAACATCAAGTCTTGGGTCCGTGAAATGGGACTGTTCCATCTAGTTACTGTTGTGGTGGTTGTTGTTTGGTGCCATCAAGTTGAGTATGACTCATAGCGAACCTAGAAACAGCAGATCTGAACCCCGGCCTGTCCTGTGCCATCCTCACACGTCCTGACACACTAGAGCCCACTGCAGCAGTCGCTGTGTCAGTCCACCTGGTCAAAGGTCTTCCCCATCTAAGTAGGCTTTCCTTTACTTTTGTCAATATTTTGTTTTTCAGTGCTCCCATCAGACTCTTTTGTTGCTGTTGTTAAGTTTATCCTTTGTAGGTATTTTTGTAGGGAGTTCTTGTGGCCTGGTGGGTATAGAGTTGTGTTGGCAATTCAGCGGCCCTTGGTATGAACCCACCAGTTGCTCCACAAGAAAGATGGGCATCCTCCTCGCATGCAATTTACAGCTTCTGCAAACCCTCCAGAGGGTCAGCTATGAGTCTATTCAGACTCAGCAGCGCATAAAAATCACAAGAATCTGTCTTTTTGTTGTTGATGATGTTATTGTAAATGGAAATGACTGTTGGCATAATACTATTTTTTAGGTTCTTCACTGCTAATGTACAAAGATGCTGCTAGGTTGGCATCAGTATCTGGTCTCCCGCAATCTTGTTGAAGCCTTACTTGACTCACTGAGCACGTCCATGCCTGTCTGGAGTCCCCTCCTCCTTCCAGTGGCCACATGGTACTTCATAGCACAGAGACACTGTCGTTTATAGAACTCATCTGTTTGGTGGCCATCAGGCTGCTGGCATTTTCTTTCTGTTAATGATGAAATCTCCAGGGCACCTTCTTAGAGTCGCTCATTCTTCCCAGGCGAGTGTATGAAATGCCATGTGCTGCTCTGGGCGCTCTGTAATCACTGAAGATATAGACAGTCCAAAGAGAGGAGATAGTATCAGGTGGAGCAAATAATTACAAAGAAAATAGAGAAAGATGATGTGCTGAGAGCGATGGGGCATGCTTGGGGGCTCTGAATGCATCACATTCTCTCTAGAAAGGTGGCTTTTGAGCTGGCACTTATATGAGAACGAATCCGATGTGGGAAGGTTGTTCCCAGAAAGAAGCAAAGGCTCAGGGTCGAAGGAACTTCCCATGCTAATCACATGCTTAGAGAGCGAACACAGCCACAGGACAGGGGGACAGGGCCAGAGGGACAGAGCTCATAGGCCTACTTGAGACGAGTCCGTTTTTTCCAAGTATGAGGGGAAGCGGCTGGAGGATGTTAGCAGGACAGTGACTTGATCTAATTGACGATATTGGAAGATGACTCCAGTTGCTTAAGAAGCTTTTCTTTTCTCAAAACAATTGTGAGATATCATCTCACCCCAGTAAAAATAGCAAAGTTCAATAGAGCAGCAAACAGCAAATGCTGGTGAGGTTGTCGAGAAACTGGAACCCTTATTCACTGTTGGTGGGAGTGTAAAATGGTGCAGCCACTATGGAAGGCAGTATGGCACTTTCTCAAAAAGTTGGAAATAGAAATATAATTTGACCCAGCAATTCCACTACTGGGAATATACCACAGAGAAACCATAACTGCCACCCAAGCAGATATATGCACACCAATGTTTATTTTGGCCTTGTTCGCAGTAGCAAATAGTTGGAAACAACCCAAGTGCCCATCAACAAGTGAATGGATAGAGAAGCTCTGGTATAGTCACACAATGGAATACTATACAGCACTGAAAAACAGGGAACTCATGAAATATACAGAATGGGTGACCCTGGAGGACATTATGCTGAGTGAAATATTTCAGTCACAAAAAGATAAATACTGCATAGTGCCACTATTATAGACCAGGACTGATAAGGGTGTTGGGGGGAAACTAAGAAAAGGGGATAAATAATGTATATAGTATTGAAACAGATGAGAGAGAGAACTATATAAAGGGAATATATGATTGGGTATGATTGGCATGACAAGAATCCAGAATAAGATTTGCATAGTAAGGTGTTCTGGAGTTGGTGGGGAGGGGGGACTGTATGACAGTGAAAGAACTTTTTTCCCAAAGAAAAAAGCAGTCTGGGTGGGGAGGGAGGAACATGTACAACAGTGAATGAATAGAAATCCAAGTTCTTTATAAACTTTCATTAAAATTAAAAAAAAAAACAGAAGCATTTCTTTTCCTTATTTTGCTTCAATGTTTTTGAAACACCAAGTTCTTAAAAGTGAGTTGGCGAATTTGTAGGTGTAGAATGTCGATCCTGCCAGCCGCCTCCTCACAATATAGCTCTGGTTTGTCTCCGGGGGTGCTGGCTCCTCTTGACCCCTGTGACAAGGTGCACGGCAAGCTCACTTGGCCCTGTGTCCATTCTTGTTTCTGCAGGACCTTTGCTGCCACTTTTGTGCAGGAACTCTGGCTGTGCCACTCGCCCCTTGGGTAAAACATGGCAGACGAAGACCTCATCTTCCGCCTGGAAGGCGTTGACTGCGGCCAGACCTCCCAGGCTGGCCACGACGGCCATGCTAATGCCGACAGCGACGACGAGGACGGTTACTTCATCTGCTCCATCACGGATGACCCCAGCTCTGACCAGAACGCCAATGCCAAGGTTAATAACTACTACAGCAACCTAATGAAATGTGAGCGGTACGGATCAAGCGGGTCCCCAGCAGGTTCCTTTCACTTCAAGGTGAGTGGACGGCCGGGCTCTCTCCTGCCCTGTTGAGTCTCACCTAGCAGGTGAGGGCTCCAGTTTGCCTTTTGCTGGTGGCTGAGCTGGGCCTGAATTCCCATCTGCACTGTTAAGTTCCAAGTCTGAGGATGTGCTTGTTAAACTGGATAACTGTGTTGGTTTAAAGTCACTTTGCTGTTATGTACCATCAAGTCAGAACCAACTCATAGCTGTCCATCCTGCAGTGTGTCAGAGGCTGTATATTGCATGGGAGGAAACTGTCCATTTTTCTCCTGTGGAGCAGCTAGCTGGTGTATTTGAACTGGCTGCCTTTGTGTTGGCAGTGCAAATCCTTATCACAGAGCTCCTGGAATCATTTGGCTGTGGTTATGTGCCATCAAGTTGACTGGGACTCATAGCGACCCTGAGCACAGTAGCTCTGAAACCTGCTCTATCCTGGGCCTCTATCCTCACTGTCTCCGACACTCCTACCCTCATTCTCTCAGTTACCGTGTCAGTCCATCTCCTCCAAGGTCTTCCTCTTTTGCCTTGTCCCTCCACCCTTCCAAGCATAAGGTTCTTCTCCAAGGACTGGTCCTTCCTGGCAACAAAATATGTCAGACAGAGCTTCAGAATCCTTGCCTCCAAGAAACAACTTGGTTTCACCCTCTCCAGGACAGACCTTTTTGTTCCCTTGGCAGTCCCTGGGATGTTCAGTACTCTTCTTCAGCACCACAAGTCAAAGACAGTGATTCTTCTTCTATCATCCTTAGTCATTGTCCAGTTTTGAATCACTTTAAGGCAGTGGATTTTTTGTTTTTGTTTTTTTTTTAAGGCAGTGTTTTTCAAATAGCTGTTCAGGATGCATTATTATGCTGTGAAAAAAAAATGCCCATATTTTGTGCTTAAGCCCACTGTTGGTGTCACTCTATCAATCCTTTTCAATGTAGATCTTACTCTCTTCCACCAGCCCTCTACTTTTCCAAGCATAATGAATATTGAATAAATCATGGACTGAAAAAAAACAAAACAAAACAAAACAAAAAAACCCCCAAACAAATCTGACCTGGATAAAAGTGTGTCCTGTCCAGGGCCAGAGTTCTAATAGAAGTCTCTGTGGGACAGGCAGCCCCAGAAGCCACCTCACAGGCTCCCTCTGAGATCGAGCCCTGCAGGGCCAAGGGGAGGCTCCCTCACTTCACCATGAAGGGGGCTGCTGACCACACCCATCCGCTCGGCAGTGTGTGGACGGGGAGAACAGCCTGCCACCTGTCTCTTCATTTTAAGTCCTGGTTCATCCGTGGTGTCTGATATTAGGTTCCAGGAAACCTAGGTGTCAGCCGGAGGCAGGGGACACGGAAGGAAGAGCTGCCAGTAATACCAGCTCAAGGGGAACAGGGAACTTACTATTCTAATGACCTACGATATTTCCTGGAACCCAAGGGCAGAAACAACATCCCATCTCGAGGGAGAAATCCAGGAACCCCGAAGGCAACAGGACTGCCTCTCCTGTTTGCTGTTGTTTATCTCTCTCCCTGTTGTTGTTTTCAGCTGTTGTTTGAGTTGGCCCCTGGCTCATCCTGTGCATAGCCATGATCAATCAGGAAGCAATCCATTGGCCGATTTTCAGATAAGATTGCCAGGCCTTTCCTTCCTAGTTTGTCTTCGTCTGGAAATCCTGCTGAAACCAGTTCAGCACTACGGCAGGAGGCCAGCCTTGCACAGATGATGGTGGCGGTGCTTGAGGTGCATCAACCAGGAGTCCAACTTGGGTCTCCCACATGGAGGGCAAGAATTCTACCATTGCACCACTCCTGGTTCCATCCATCCGCCTTTGGCTGCGCTCTGTTCTTGTCTGCCCCTCAGTCTGTACAGCGGGAAAATGAACCTCCTCAGCAGGAGTGGCATCCACTTCCTAAACAGCTTGTCTCCGGAAACTTTATAAACTTGGAGAAAAGAAAGTTATACAAGTGTTCAGGTCTTTCGTTCATAGGGTTGCTAGGAGTCGTCTATGACTCGACGGCACTTAACAATAATAACAGCCCTTCATATCAGACTCAGGGGAGGAAAATCTTAGTCAGCCAGAGTTAGGATTCCTCTTTGATTCTGTCAGCTCCTGTCAGGATTTGGGGCCCAGGGAAGGAGGAACCTGGTGTCTTACGGTGCGGCCCCCTCTGTTGGGTTTGTTGGGAGGAATTTCAGATAAACCCACAGGCCTTTGGGCCAATACTGCAGAGCTCAGAGGCTGAAGGGCACTCAGTTTTGGGCTGGCCACGTGCCTGAGGCTAGAGGCTCTGGCCCAAGATGGAGAATGACTCATATTTGCAGAGAGTTATGAGTGTAGGGAGGCCCTTCACGAGGCATTGTGAAGTGGTCCAGTCAGTAGACGTTTGTCCCGAGGCCTCAGGCCCAGTGAGCCGTTTCTGGCTACTTGCCTCTTGCCTGCAGCTGTGTCCTCATCAAGTGGAGCTGGAAACAGTGAAGGAGTTGGAATGCTGGATGCACTATTGCACTGTGCGTGCCCGGTCCCTAAAGGACAGCTGTGCAACGTCATGCCCTATTTGTCACCTCCATCCACAGAGGGTCCCTCTGGACCTCAGATACCCTCTCAGCCCCCAGAAGCAGCAAATACACACAAAAAAGTTCTATTAAAATCATAGTCATGGCGACTTCTGGACTCAGCTTTTCTGTCACCTCTCTGGCTGCAGGGCTCCTGTTATTCTCTTGGTTTCCTTCCTTTCTAAAAAAATATTTTCAATTAGTTCTGGTACAATAATTTGTTTACAGTGTGTTTCATTATTCTCGTGGTCTGAGTCAATTCCACCTCCCTTCCCTTTTGCTGAGAAGCCCTGGTTGCTAAAGTGGTCAGCTGCTAACCCAGAGGTCAGAGGTCTCAGACCACTCCATGGGAAGAAGGTGTGGCAGCATGCCTTGGACACCCTGTGGGGTGTTCTGCTCTGCCCTGGAGCGTCGCCCCGAGTTAGAAGCAACTTGATGACCTGTAGGTTTGATTTATTTTGGTTTCCCTTTACCAGGTCATAAAACAGCAAAGGGAAACCATCCTCAGGCCAACATCTGGCCATTTATGGACGAGATGGTGCTAGCTGTCCAGCACCACTGTCCCGGGCAGTCAGGAGCTCACTCTGTTGGGTCACTTTTACCAGTGGCGACTTCAACAACCCAGGGGCATTTCGCAGACTTCCCTCTCAGGACATGTAACACATTCATAGTGTTTTTAATGGTAGTCTTGGCAAAGTGCTTAAGCAAAATGATCATCTGGCCATCCCACAAAGGCTGCTGGGGTAGGCAGCAGGTGTTTTATGAAAGGTCAGGCTCAGTCACTGTCAGGACTGGCCTGTGCCTGCTGTCCCTGACTGGACACTGTGCCCTCCAGGTCCCCTGGGGCCTGGTGGCAGCAGGATCTTCTGTGTTCCCCTGTCAACAGCACATCCAAGTATACTTGGAGAGGTAGAGACATAAGTAAGTGTTTTTAATCTGGAATTAAGTTTTAAAAGCAGAATGTAGAAGGTAGTGATAGCTATGTGTACAAAACACACAGAGAACAGAGCCTGGGAGAAGTACATCAGCATGCCGGTAGGATTTCTTTGAGTGGGATCAGGAACAGATGTGTTCATTTTTCAACATCTCTGTCATTCCTGTATTTTCTAGAATGAGCATAGGGTAGGTAGTTATGTGCTGTCTAGTCGGAACCCACTCATCGCTGACTCTCCAGCAGGTTTTCAGAGACTTTAAACTGCAAGGGAGGAAATTACCCATCTTTGTCCCTCAGAGCAGCAGGTGGATTTGAACCGTGAGCCTTTGGGTCAGCAGTGCAACTCCTTAGTGGGTAACTCCTAGTGATAGGCCATCAGAGCTCTCTCTTGTTGTCGTTGGTGTTACGTGCCATGGAATCAGAATCGACTCATAGCTGACCCTCCAGTGGGTTTTCAGAGGCAGTGACTCTCACAGGAGATTGCCCATCCTTCTCCTGTGGAGCAGCTGGTGGATTCGAACCTTTTGCCTTTGGGTTGGCAGTGGAACTCCTTATCACTAAGCCACCAGAGCTCTTTTTGTATGTTTGTATGTATTTATAAATACATGTGTATATATATATGTATGTTTCAGCAAGCAGGGTTGTGTCATCTGCACTATGCAGATTGTTGATGGGTCTTTCTCCAATACCGATGCCACATTTCTCCTCATAGAGCCCAGCCTCCCAGATAATTTGTTCTGCATATAGATTGAAAAGGTATGGAGACAGGACACATCCTTGGAGTACACCCTTCCCAATTTTTGAATCATGCACTGTTTCATTGTTCTGTTCTGACGACTGCCTCCTGGTCCAAGCATAGGTTTCACATAAGCATGATCAAGTGTACTGGGATTCCCATTCTTCTAAGAGTTAGCCACTGTTTGTTGTGGTCCACGCAGTCAAATGCCTTTGCATAGTCAATGAAACACAGATAGACATTCCTCTGGTACCCCCTGCGTTCAGCTAAGATCCATCTAACATTAGCTACAATATCCCTAGTACCACGACCCCTTCTAAACTCAGCCTGCACTTCAGGCTGTTCTCCGTTGATGTGCTGATCCAGTCATTTTTGGATAATCTTCAGTAGGATCTTGCTGAATGTTAGTGATGTTGTTCGATAATTTCTACACTCTGATCACTTTTCTTTGGAATGGGAACAAATCTAGATCTCTTCCAGTCAGTTGGCCAAGTGGTTGTTCCCCAGATTTCTTGGCACAACTTGGTGAGCACATCTAGGGCAGCATCTATTAGTTGAAATATATCAATTGGTATACCATCAATTCCTGGGGCCTTGTTTTTTGCCAATTCTTTCAGAGCAGCTTGAACTTCCTCTTTCATTTACACAGGCTCTTGCTTATATGTTGTTTCATGAAATTCTTCTGTGTCCACCAATTCCTTTTGGTACAGTGACTGTGTGCTCTTTCCTTCTTCTTTTAATACTTCTTGGATCATTCAGTATTCTGCCCAAAACATCCTTAAGTATTACAGTTCGAGGCTTGAATTTGTTCTTCCATTCCTTGAGTTTAAGAAATGCTGAGCGAGTTCGGCCCTTTGGATTTTCCACCTCCAACTCTTCGCACATTTCATTATAATACTTTGTCTTCCTGTGCTGCCTTTTGAAATCTCTGTTCAGCTTCTTAATATCTTGATTTCTTCCCTTTACTTTGGCTTCTTGGTGCTCTAGTGCAATATTCAGTCTCTTCTGACATTCATTTTGGTCTTTTCTTCCTGCTTTGTCTTTGTAATGACCTTCTGCACTCTTCTGAATGATATTCTTGATATCCTCCCATAACTCATCTGTTCTTCGCTCTTTAGTGTTCAAGATCTCAAACCAGTTCCTGAGATAGTATCGAAATTCAGGTGGGATAGACTCAAAGTCATATTTTTGTTCCCATGGATTTGATTTAATTTTTCTTAGCTTCAGCTTGAACTGAGAGAGCATTAAAGCTGGCTGGGACTTATGAGTTCTATAAATTTTAGATTGTTGTTGAATTCTAGGTTGTTGTTGTGTACTGTCGAGTCAGAACCGACCCATAGCTGAACCTCCAGTGAGTTTTCAGAGGCAGTTAATGGCACAGGAGGAAATTGCTTGTCCTTCTCTTGCAGAGCAGCTGGTGTATTTGAACCAAGTGCCTTTGCGATTTTAGCACAGTTTCTTGCTACTAAGCCACCAGATAAATTTCTAGCTTAGATAAATTATAGATTATTGTAATAAATATCCTTGTACATGTATCTAGACAGACTTTAAATAACTATTTTCAGTGATAAATATGTAAATCATTTGTATCACAGAAATATAAAATTAAACGTGGCTATTTATATATCAATATTTTAATACTAAAGTATTAAAAGACTTCAAAGTCAGAAAATACAAAGTTGGTGAATTTATGCACTGCTACTATACTTGAGGTATGTAAATTAGAAAGATTTATCCAGAATCTATATCACTTATAAATTTTTACCCAATTGTTTATACTTTTATAGTTCACTTGCTTTTATCACCTGTCATAAACGAATAAAGAGCTACTGGGAGGAAAAAGATTAATTTCTCATCTGTAAATAATGACAAAGCGGCTTTGGTAGCTCAGTGGAGATGTGCTTCTTCCACGTGGGATCCCCAGTTTCAGTCCCCCTGGGACCTCTCGTGTCCAGCCTCTGCCTGTCTGTTACCAGAGGCTCACATGTTGCTGAGATGCAGCAGTGTCAGCAGAACTTCCAGACTGAACTGGGGTAGGAGGAAAGGCTTGGCAGTCTGCTTGTGAGACCAGCCTGAGAGATCTCTGAGTCCCATCACCCCACAGGGAAGGCGCAGGCCTGGCCGTGTTCCTGTCTGTGGTGAGTGAATGAGTGTAGGACCCACTCCTTAGCACCACATCACAGCAGACATAGCGTGTGTACACAGTACAGCTAGGCCCTGCAAACAGCCTTGCAGTGAGAAGCCCACCTCCGCCTACCTCCTGTGTCTGATTCTGTGAGCCAGGCCGGTCTCTTCCAGGAATTTTCCTGGCAACTGTATATCTCTCTCTCCTTCCCCCCCACCTTTTCTTCTGCACAGAGAAGTTTTTACTGTGGAGCTTGTTTGACCCCTTTGTGGCCCTCGTCCCACGTTGATTTATGAGAGCTGCCCCAGCCAGAACTTACCCAAACGTGTTGGTGGATGGGATGTACACTGTGTGTGAGACGCCTCTCATGACTGCTCCCCGCATGGGCTCAGGACTGCCGTTTGGGGGTGGACTTTTGTTGCAGCTGCGTGTTTTATGGGGGCTGGCTGGTGTTTTGTGGAGACTGGTATTTCGTAAGGATTGCCATTTTATGGGAACTGGCGTTTTGTGAGGACTGGCATTTTGACAGATAGTAAACTGAGGTTCTGAGACCTTGAATCCCCGCCCCAGCCGGTGACGGGACCATCTTTGAATCCGGTCACCCTGGCTCTTAACAACTGCAGTCTGCTCCCTAGCTTATTTTTGTCATTTTGTTTTATGCCAGAATAGTAGGTCTTTGTCTGGAGGCACCAAAATCTGCATATACATTCCTGGGTTGATGGTTCTGGGACATTTCTGATCTTTGCTGCCACCACATAAACGCATTGCCATCCGGTTGGAACCGACTTATAGCTGGCCTTCCAAATGGGTTTTCAGAGGCTGCAAGTGGAGTGGAGGGTGGAGATTACCCATCTTTCTCCCAAGGAGCGCTTGGTGGATTAGAACCACCCACTTGTGGGTTGGGAGCCAAATGCCCTACAGGGCTCCCTCGTTGCCACCACAGACTTCCATAAACACCGTGGTAACCATGTCTCTATCCCCTCAGGGGCCAGCCATGGTGTGTCTGTCTATGTAAAACTGGCTGGCCCTTCAGAAGCTACAGCATCCCTCCCTGCTGGCCACATGAGCTCACCTCCTTCCCACGCCTTTGGAAGCAGACTTTGAGGATCACATTTAACTCACTGAGGGTGCCCCTGAGAGTTTTATCAGAGGGCGGCGGTGATCACCCTAATGGAGAGAGAGGAACCAGTGTCTAATGAATGACTCACAGTGGAGAGAGGCCCCACCCTGGCCTCAAGGCCGCAGGAAGCTCTTTGTGCTGCCCCTTGGTGTTGGCAGGTGCTATCAAGTCGAATACAACCCATAGCGACCCCACAGACGTCAGATCTGAACCCTGTCCTATCCTGTGCCATCTTCACAATCTCACACTCAAGCCCATTGCTGCAGCCTCTGTGTCAATCCACCTGGTAAATGGTTACCAGAGTGCGAGGCACTGGATCTTAATCCAGCACTTTTTCTGTTCTGTTGACAACACTGAATGGCATGATTCTTTCCTGGGCTTGAAAAGAAGTTATTTTA